AGTAGCAGGGATATCAGAGTATAAGGGCTCTAGTGGGAAGAGGGAGGCTATGGGAGGGTGCCATCTGGGAATTAGGTGTACAGTCAAATAAGATGGTTTGGGATGTTCTGTGTGATATACACACATAAAAAAATCAACAAATTTTTTTAAAAAGTATTATATTTGAGGAGGAAGCATGGAAATTTACATCATGCTAATTAGCAGAGGTGATAAACATTACCATTGAGATCTACCCAATGACTTCATAGACATAAACAGGTGCCAAGGATCCAAGTGCAACAGATTATGACTAGTAATAATCAGACACATACAGATTAGAGATGCGTGCGCCGACATCTCAGTGTTAGTAGTAAAAACAATGAGTCTTTCTGCAAGGAATAATATATTCTAAAATGAAATGGAGATGTTTTTTAAAGGTTAAAAACTCATTGAATTTTATGTCTTACGAGGGCTTATACTAGCTCAATATTGTATAACTGTATTAACTCAACTGTGAACCTAGAAACTTACAGCCACTTGTGAAAGAGATGTTCTCTTGCTCTGGCGTGTTACTGAATGTTAAAGCTGTTATGAAATGCTTCTTCTAATCATGTAGTTATTAAAAATTAAAAAAAAAACCCACCTTTCCTTTTTTAGATAAATAGGAAGATATGTCACTTTGATCATCCAGGGAGTCTATATTAAAATTACAAATGAGATGTCAACTTTAAAAGGTACCTTTGGGGCCAGGTGCAGTGACACACACCGTTAATCCCAGGACTCAGGAAGCAGAGGCAGGAATATGTCTGTGAGTTCAAGGTCAGCCTGGGCTACTTAGCAAGTTCTAGGCTTGTAAGAGCTACATAGTGAGAAAAAAATGAACAAAGTGTCTCAAAAAAAAAAAAAAAAAAGCTACGAATAAACAAAAGTACCTTTGCTTGTTTACAAGAAGGACTTAGTCTGGGAGTGCAGCTTAGAAGCAGAGACTAGACTAGTCAACTCAAAGCACTAGAGTCCAATCCCAACATGGGGGAAAAACTGAAGTACTGCTATAGTAAAGTGTACTATTAACCGTCGATCAAGGTTACACTACTGTATCAAACATACTCTTAATTGGGCACTAAGGAATGGAAGAAATGCAGTCACACAGGACATGGAGTAAGAAGAAAACGATCCTCCCAATCAGAGGAAAACAGATTCAGAATTCAGCACTGGTTGCCAAAGGGCGGTGTAGTGGAAAATCCTGATTTTTTTCAACTTGACCCATCACTATCCTTCTTAGGTCAAATGCTTGGTATTATTCATATATACTTCAACAGCTTCCAAACTAAGCAACTCGTTAGAAATTAAAAGATTAATCTGAGCTATAGAAAGCAAAAAAATTATTTTGAGATGACCTGTCTTCTTTTAGATTAGGAAAGTTAATCCTGACTCCTTTCGTTTTGTTAAAGATTATGGGGGAGGAGCTGGAGAGATGGCTCAGCGGTTAAGAACACAAGATGTTCTTGAAGACGACGGGGTTCAAATCCCAGCACCCACAGAGCAGCCTAACAACTGTCGGTAATTCCAGTCCCAGGGGATCCGGGAGCCTCTTCTGACCTCTGCAGGCATTGCATGACACAAGTGCACTTACCTACATGCTGGCAATACACGCATACACATAAAATAAAAATAAATAAAATTTTAAAAAGATTATGGGGGAGAAATGGAGGGAGAAGGAGGAAAGAAGAGGAAAGGAGGGTATTCCCCCACTTAATCACAGGTAGAAATGGAACTGTACAACACCTCTTGATCCAGGAAGCAACAGTATTGATCAATGACAAGATTACTAGCAGAAGAACACCTGGCATTTTTGTGTCAGGCATGGTGGCTCATCTCTATACTCCCAGTCTCAGAAGGCAGTCTCAGAAGGCAGGAGGACTGGGAATTTAAGGCCAGCCTGGGCTACAGAGAAAGATCCTGTCTCAAAATGCAAAACTCGAAAATGGCATTTTTTTAAAAAGGAATACAAGTGTTTCACTTATCTCACTCTGATCTTAACCGGCTGTAACAGAACATAAGACTTGAGTTCATCTAAAAGATAAAACAGTGCCCGGTATTATTACTGATAAAAGAATTAACACTTAACACGACACACAACCCAGTGGACTTGCCAGCTTTCCCATGTAACAAACACACTAACAAAGACGGAAACTAAATTTCCAATTCCAGGTTTCACCAGCAAAATCGCATCCAACTGAAATAATGAACTTCAGAAGAGTAAAGAAAAACATTATTTTCTGACTTCCAAATCACTCATAAGACTAACTGCTGGGACTTAAATGACCAGAAGACAGTAAAACACTAACTGCCTCAGGGACTAGGTGGTTGCCCACCCTGCCGGCCCCCCTCCGCCGGCCTCTGCGGCCTCCTCCATCAAGGGACCACCCCGCAGACTCCTGCCGGGCCCCGAGGGGACTCCACAACGCCACCGCCGCGACTTTCACGGGTGGGCACTGCATAGGCCGCTTCATCCCAGCCGGCCCCGTCACCGGCGGACCCTCCCCGGAGCACCTTGCGCTTGCGGGCCTCGGCCGTGCCGCTCCACACGAAGCACTGGTAGATGGCCCGCAGGTTCTGCTTCCAGTTGTCCACCTTGAAGCTGCCCAGGTGCGAGCAGCCAGGCGGCGCCACCGCTAACTCGGCGTCCATGGCCTCAACCTCCGGCTCCGGCCGGGCGACCATGGTAGGCAAGACCCGGCCGCGAGGGGCCGGCGGCGATGGGGGCGAGGACGACGCCAGCTCGGCGAGAGCGGCGAGGACAAAGCGGAGGACAAAGACCCGCAGAGAGGCGAGGCAGGAGACGGCCACACAGGCGCCGCCTCCGAGCTGCGGATGCACAGACTGCTGGCGCAGCGCTCCCCAGGCTCGCGGAGGGTTGGGCAAGGCGGGCTGCGGGCGGAGATTACGTCACCCAGGCCGGGGGTGCGCAAACTCCGCCGCGCTAGGCTCCGCCCTGCAGTCCCTGATCGCTCCTCAGGCACCGCGGAGACGTGAGACGACTGGGCGAAGCCAATCAAACCCCGTTCTTGCACCCATTCCATTGACTGTCTCCCGGGCTCCACCGCCTTCGGCCGTTGTCATAGGGTAGAGGGCCAGTCCATTTGCTTTGGTGCCGCCTCCGGGGACCTGGGGCTCTGACTTCCGACTCTCCCACTGGGGAGGCGGGGCGTGCTGAGGATTGGGTAAAGCCGATGTCTGTCTGTCCGCTGAACCGGTTCGCACCGGCCTGAGTTCTGCCGCAAAGAGGCGGGGCGCTGGGCCGGGCTGGGTGGGCTTCTGCGCCTTAACAAGGGAGGCTGCATTTATCTGATTCTCTAGGTTACGAAGGTCCCTGGAGCCCCTCGTGTGGGCGTTTTGCCGAGCTCTGCCATCTCTGTAGCCTGTTGGGTACCACAGTACCATAGCAGGGGATTGGGAAGGCAGCTGCCTGGTCAGCGCTGCGGGAACGCAGACTGGGGTTCCTCCTCTAGAGTCCAGCCCAGTGCTGCAGCTCAAATAGGATACGAGTTGCATACCGAATTTAAAAAATTTTAATGATATAAATTTTAAACAACAAAATTTAAAATTTTTTAGTGATATGTATTTTAAACAACAAAATTGGCAAAATAAATTTTAGTAAGATAGTTTAGTAATTCAGTAAAGCCAGAATATTATTTCAGTATGTGATGTTGTAACGTTGTTAGTTGAAATATTTTATAGTTTTTGCGTTGACTTTGAAATCCCGTATTTTAAACACGTCAATTTGTACTAATATTTAATTTGTACTAACCACATTACAAACAACTAGCAGCTGCTACGTAGAGACCGCACAGACCCATAACGCAGTCAGCCTTCCCGTCTGGGTGTTAGAATCTGAGCAGTCTACTCTAGAGAAAATACTTGTCCCCCTCCTCACAAATTGTATCTCTACCGAACATGTAGATTTCTTTTTTCTTATTTTTCCTTAAGCTGTAACAGCTAGGGGCCAGACTCTGGTGACAAGTCAGTGATGTGGGACAGTGAAATAATTCACCAAGGCAGAAAGAGGCAGAGAAATAGAGTGCATCAGAGACGCTGCAGTCCTGCAGCCAGCAGGAAAGATAGTCAACAAGCCTTCTCAGGGGCTGCTTTTATATGGTGAGATAGTGTCCTATTCAGGCAGTCAGGCAGCATTTAACTGTTCTGGTTCCCAGGGCAATTGCAGCTGAGGCTTACCAGACTTAGCAATAGCCTGGCCTTGAGGCAATGAGGGTCTTGCCCCAAATCAGAAATGGTTCAGCACGACCATTTGTCTTAAACTGGCATTCACAATTTAGGCTGAATTAAGTATTACAAGTAGCCTATAGATGAGTTAAAGCATCCAGAAGAGTCAGGAGTACTGGTATACCAGTGATCTCAGCTATTCAGGAGGTATTTCTACTGAACCAGGAGAATCGCTTGTGCCCAGGAGTTCATAGCGAGCCTGAGCAACATAGTGAGACTCAAGTTAAAAAAGAAAAGAAAAAAAAAAGTATATACATATATATCTATATGTATATACATATAGCCTGTAAAGCCTTCACACATCCTGATATATATATATAGATATATACATATACACACACATATATATATACACATCTATCTATATATATATCAGGATGTGTGAAGGCTTTACAGGCTATATGTAAATATGCCATTTTATATTTGGGACTTGAGCATCTGAGGGTTTTGATATACTAAAGGAATACTGTGTGTAAATAACTTGACCAGGGAAGATTGTGGTCTACCAGCTCTGGAGACCCCATCCTTTCCCACAGGGTGTCTTTAGCCCTTTGCTCTTCTTCAAAAACATCTGTTTTCACCCTTTTCTAACTTTTCATTCATCCCTGGCGTTCCACTCTTTATCTGCCTCTGGAAAGAACCTGGACTCCAGAACAACCAGCCCCTGGCTCTATCACACCCTGTACCCCCAGTTTCCCACACCACCCCCCTTTATCCCCACAGAAAGTGGCAAACTGGAATAAAGAATTTGTGCTGAGGAAAAATTACCAAGCACTCAGAGCCCCTTCCTACAGTGCTTCCACCATACCAAGCACCCCACAGTATATGCTCCCTGATGTCCTCCCAGGCTTTGTCAGAAACTTCCTTTTCAGTGAGGTCTTCCATTGCCACCCTGTTGAAAATTATAGCCTCTTTTTCAAAATCTCCCCCTCCCTTCCTGCTTTATTTTTCTTTAAAGACTTTATCATAATCTGGCAGTTTAAATTTATTTCTTTAGTTTTTGCTTTCTTCATTTTATTTTATTTTTTGTTTGTTTAGGGGTGGTGGTGAAATTCAGGCAGGGTCTCATATTGCCTAGGTTGACCTCAAACTTGCTGTGTAGCTGAGGATGCCCCAACTCCTGCATCTACCTTCTGAGTACTGAGATTACAGGTAAACACTGCCATGCCCAGGTAATACAGTGCTAGGGATTGAACCCAGGGCTTCATGCATACTAAGGAAGTGCTCTATCACCTGAGCCACATCCTTAGCCCCTTGTTTTTTACTCTCTTCAGGAAAAATCCATGAGGATGATTGGGAGGCCAAAGGAAGAGATAGATAAACACCCTGACAAGAAGTGTGATAAAGGACAGGATGAAGGACAAAAGCCTGGCAGATTTTATTCCCAACTCCAGTGGGAAGGCTTTTTTTTTTCTAACAATACAATCTCAAAGCATTTATTGTCACCTGATAATAACATAAGGGTCATCAAATAATAATAAATGTTGCAGACTCTGCTCCCAGTAGACACCTTTAAAAAAAAAAAAACTGCATTGCCTTCTGAATACTCACTTCCTTGATCATTTCCAGTTGGACACACTTTGTAGCAGAGTAATATCTCCTTTTAACATGATCTCACCCAGTTGTTTTCTTGATTTTGTTTTAGAATGACTCTTCTGTATTATGTAATACGAGGTACATCAAAACCAATAATACAACTGTTTGCATATTCACTTGCTCATATAGCCATACCTGAATCCAAGATCTCTTCTGTACCTTCTGTCTGCAGTATGCCATAGTGGGAGTCACAGAGACCACACAAATAGATACACCCCTCATAAATCAACTTCCAGGTGAAGAGCTGGAAGCAGAAGTGCATCAGGAAGACTATTTTTAACTCCAACAAGGACCCTTCAACTGACCTTAGAGTCACATAGCCATGGATATAGCTCAGCTTGAAACTAGGGCTCTCTCTTCTTTAACTTGACTAACCCAAAATTAGGAGAGGGAGACCTGCCTCATACCACCAATAATGTTTAAAAGACCAGTTTCCAAATCCCCTCTCCACTTGTGGAGTGCTTTCTCTTTGTGATTAGTGTGTATTTCTTTACTTTTAATAAAGTCTGTTACCTGTTGTGTCTGGGATTTTCTTAGCCTCTTAGTTCTTTAATTGGGGGGAAAAAAACAGAACCAGACCAAGAACCCCAGATGGCAGCATACTGATATTCATGTATTTTATTCCCTACTCTCCAGTGACTAGAACAGTAGTAGCAAGTGTTCAAAATTGTCTGCTGTTTTAATTAAAACCAAACATATGTTTATAAGAGAATCTCAGACTGTTCTCAGAATAAAACTCTGGCTAAGGAAAAATGTTTGAGAAGGGAATATTGGCATACCAAAAAATAAAATTACAATCATTAATTTTAGCTTCTATGTGGAAAATTTAGCTCATTAGTAGAGGGTTTACCTCACATATGTCAAGCCTTGAGTTTGATGTCCAGCATGTTGGAAAAAAAACCCAGATGTGATTAATTCTCATAAATATTGTACATGAAGTTGGGTAGGGTAGTGTATGTCCATAATCCCAGCACTCAGGAAACCGAGGCAGGAGGATCCCAAGTTCAAGACCAGCCTAGTGTAATGTACATTACATTGGTAAATTATCAGGTGCTGTTTAAGTTTGTTGAAAGTGGTCTCTGGGGGTGAGATGTCCTTCCTTGCCTCAGACTCAAACATATTTATGTCGTGTGTCCTCTAAAACACCTTGTCCTGGTCAAGCTGACCCTCTGGCTCTGAAATGGGAAGAGGGAAAAACAGCAAGCAGCGAAGGGCACTAAAAACATTGTGTTCTTAAGAACAACTAGAAGGTAAACCATTACAAACAGATGTTTGTGTTGTTTATCCCATGGCATAAACATGCCTGCAGTGGGAATGAGAAGCCAGAGCTCATTGATGGAGAGATTATCAGTCAGGAGCTGCAGCATGACTGCTTCTTCCCCATCTGTTTATGCTGGATGGTGTAAGCCCCAACTGGATGGCCTTCTTTGTTTGCTCTCCCAATCCAGCTACTTCAGTTGTCTGTGTTGGATGTTGTAAGCATCAGATTTGATGAGGTTTTGTTGTCTGTCTGCTTCCTCTATTTGCTACTTGCTATTTGTTCTTTTACTTTTGTATGGTATATGCTTAATAAACTCACTCATTGAAATTGTGAGTGTAACTATCACAGTTCATTCTCCAGACTGTGCAGAACACCTAGGAAGACCAAAAATATTGAAACTGAGGAGTATTCTATTTTTGCTTATAAATATGATTTGGATTTAAACATGTATACCTAACATTCAGATTCTAATTTTGAATACTGAACAATAAAACTCTGTAGCCATTTAAAATAATCAATACAGTCATTTAGTTACAGAAGAATTTGTATGTTCTCTATTTGCATTAATAATGATTTTAAATGCTGGGGCTGGTGAGATGGCTCAGCAGGTAAAGACCCTTGCTGTGCAAGCCTGGCACCTGAATTTGATCCCCAGAACTCAAAAAAAGGTGGAAGGAGAAAACTGACTCCGCAAAGTTATTCTCTGACCTCTACAT